CTCTCTGACCATTGAATTAGTATCGTTTAGATATTTCGCTTTTCGAATTGCAATGTGCAGGAGCCACGTATCTTGTTAACAAAAATTGCTTGGTCCACAGAGGGACCATGGGTCGAGATCGTAATCTTTCGCTTTTTTCAATGGATTAATATATTTTTTGCTTCGCTGAAGCAAACGCATCGAGAAATTATTAATTTAGTAGATATTTCACGTTTAATTTGAGAAAGATCGTAATTTTTACTCTTTCGAATGGAATGACATATTTTCTCCTTCATTGATCGACATTCTCCATAAAAAAAAAAGTATTAACGTATGTCGAAAAATTGTTAATTTAGCAGAGATATTTCAAGTTAAATTTTTTTGTAAATTTTACCTATATGAGAGACAAGCACAGTACAAACACTGTACCTTTCATACGATAGATTTTACAGAATTAAAGTTAAAATATCTCTCGTAACATATCTTTCTTTCTTTTTATAAAAAATGTCGATTAATGGAGTGAAAAATATACTACACCATTTTCAAAAAAATAAGTGATCTTAAGTTTCTTCACCCACGAAATAGAACTATGATTGTATTATGGCCCCTAAGAACAAATTGAAATGAAATTAAAGAATTGAAAAGAAATAAATTGAAGAATCAGAAAGAAACTAAAGAACCAAAGGATCAAAGTGTTGTTTCGCTGGCTTCAAAAACAACGGACATACTCAAAGTGATCGAGTTACGCGGCCCACCCTGTATATACGTAACAACGGTAGCACAACACTCTCCAACAGAGGATAAGATAACGTTTGCTAATCGAATCAGCAATGTTCGAGCGTTCTCTCCTGATGGAGAGGAATTATACACGGTGATAACTTTGTCCATGTCAGCGGCAGTGGAAGCACTCGAGTTGGCCAGCAGCAGCTTTGCCCAAGGCTGACGAAAGTCGATTACCTGTATATTTAATCAAACGCGACAGGATTCTCTTGCAATCGGCACGAAGTGCCCGCCGATGACTCCGAGACCGAAATGCTGACCGAAGCTTCCCTCGGGGTTTCAAGTACAGGGTGAAAAGGAAAAGTTCGTCCGTGGCTATCATAGATGAATTCTACACCTTCGATTTGATGGATATATGTGTAAACAACTTGCCGCAAAATTGATCTTGACCTTGAATTTCAAAATTTTTCTTTTTTTTCTTTTTGTATTGTATTCTACTCATCACGAAGGTAAAACTTTTCCAAGGAACCTAATAGTTCTTTTGAAAAATGACGAAAAAGTTTCTTCATCATTTAACACTGCGGACGCGTGTGTTCTAACAGCGACTTTATAGCGTGGATATCTATTTTACGTATTTTTCACTAACACTTGATTTACTACAGTTGCAATATCAGTGTGAGTCTAAATAATCAAATGATAAAGCTAACTGTTAACATTATTCGAAATATAAACATTACAACCACGCATCCAGAACCATAAAGTCGCTGTTAGAACTTTAAAGTAAAAATTTTTTTTTTTTGCATTGAATTCTACTCATCGTGAAGGTAAATGTAATAGCATGTTTGAAAAATAGTTTCTTAATAATTTAACACTGCGGACATGTGAGTGCTAACAGCGACTTTATGGCTCTGGATGCGTGGATGTCTATTTTATATAATTTTTGTATAAGATTTCTCTAACATTTGATTTATCATAGTTGGAGCATTAGTGAGTCTATATAATCAAATGATAAAGCTAACTGTTAACATTACTCGAAATATAAACATTACAACCACGCATCCAGAACCATAAAGTCGCTGTTAG